CCTAAAAACTCGCTCTCTAGTTTTTGCTCTCTCTGGATAAGATATGGAAGTCAGTGAGCTGTAAAACTAGACCATTGAACCTAATAGGGACTGAGATTGTTCTGTGGACTTTATACACAAAGGGCATTCTTTTACCCTTGTCATTATCTCTCTTTTTCCCTGCAGTTTGTTCCTGAATCTCAAACTCAAAGTTTGATGGTGATAATATATCACCAGTATGTGTCTGATAAAGCTAATCCACTGATATTCTTCTGCGAACTGATATTCAGTCTCGAACAGACTGGCCTTCCGGGATTTAGCAGGATCTTTAGTATTTAAATGCCAAAGGTACATTTAAATACATCAGCATGTTTTTGCACCACTGCCATTTGAAAGTGCAACTCTGCTGGCAGCAAGCGAAGGACGAGCACCTGAAGGTAATGGCGTCACTGCTGCCATAAATCCAGCACAGCATCACGCCTTCTGTGAGGCCGCTCTTCCCCTGTGCATGCAAGATGTGTCCCAGGTTCCCTTAATGGATTAGCTCACCCCCCCAAAAAAGAAAAACCTGTGATTATTTAAACATCATCCAAACTCATCATATGCCAGAACACGAAGGAGAAATTCAGAAGACCATACTGGTCACTGTTTTTCATAATTACAATGGGACTGAAGCTTTCTAGCTCCAAAGAGGATGCAATACACCATAAAAGTATCATGAAGTCTTTATGATACTTTAAGGTGATCAATACAATAGCATACTGAGATAAGGCACATCAAGGCACATCCAAATCTTACTTAATGAAATTAGTAATTTTATTTAATTCTATTTATTATTTAATGCTCATTTTTCTCACCCGAATTTTTCTCAACTTTGACTCAACCGAGATAATTACTTATATTAAAGTATATTTAAACTGACGCTTACTCAAAGTTATTCTAGGTCATTAGACATGAAGATATGGTGCTTTGGAAGCCTGTCTAAAAACTGTGTCCTTACAAGTTGCCTTCAAACAAAAAACTATGGCTTGTAAAGGCAGCAAAGCAGCAAGGACACAGCATTTGTAATCACAGGGTCTGATGAGACCCTTTCACCTACCCGAGCTTTTACATTGCAACATTTGATGACATGTTGTCCCTATTAACTGTGATTGACTACAGTGTAATAACATTTTCCCTACTGAAACCCTTCATATGAACAGATAAGCTGTGTAAATCACCTCTGAGTGAATGCAGATGTATGCTCATCTCAGGCAACCTTTGTGTTAGGTGAAGAGCCTACACTCTCAGAAAAAAAGGTACTAAAGTTGTCACTGGGGCGGTACCTTTTTTAAAAGACACACCTTTGTACCAA